TTGGCTTTTTTGTTGTTAATTTGTTTCTTCAGCTTTCTAGGAAGCCACACTACTAGAGTACATTAGCTGTGACAGAACAGAAAAAATGATTGGCTTAACCTTGATCACCACCCCAATTAAGAGAAAATAATTATGTCACTGACCACGCAAGAATGTGAAATCACAATTTTATGATGTTTCGCGCTGAACAGGGGTGCTGTGGGAAGCGTCAGGGACCACAGGGTTGGCCACAGCACAGAGGAAGTGGCTGTTAAATACACAGTCCCTGGCCTGTACAGAGAACTTTTCTTGTGGCAGGTCTGATGTTAAGCTGTGGGCCCCCAATACAAACACCATCCTGGGGCTACATGGGCGGAGCTGGAGGCCTCGGGAGCTGCTAAGCTGATCCTGGGGCTTCAGGAGCAGCAGAGGCCCTCAGGGGATTCAGGTTCCTAGCTCCTATCCCTTCTCAAACCTCCCAAAGCCTTCCTTCACACACCCATATGTTTCCAAAAAGAGACTCTTCCAAATTGTACTTAGTTGCAGGAGATTTTTCTAGGAGAGAAAAAAAATAAATCTAACAAAATTCCTTGTACATTAAGAAAGGCTTTTGGGGATCAGGAAATGGGAGCGCCCTGCCTGCTCTGCCACCTAGAAGCCCTGGGCTTTCGCTAAGTCATTGAATCTCCCAAAGCCCCACATCCTGGTTCAAGGTAAGCACTTGGAGAATGGGTGGTTACCATGTCACTACCATCATGTGTCAGAGACGGCAGCCTGGGAAGCAGAAGGAATGTGGGCTTGTAAGCAACAGACCTTCCGCTTCCAGGGCTGCCGTTAATAGATGGGGACACAAAGCTGCAGGAGAGGTTAAGGGGAGTTGAGCATGCACAGCAGTGGACAGTCTCCTTCACCTCTCCTGAGGCTTTGGGTCCCCATCTATTAAATGGGGGCAATAACATCTGCATTTGCGACCAGAGGTAATATACAAGTGGTGACAAGCCCTGTGCCGGGTGCCTGCCGGTGATAGCCCCATAGATCACGGCGGCTTCCCCTGACTGCACCACCCGGGGTACACTGTGGAATCAATGTGGCAATTTTTTTTTTTTCCTAGCAGCTGTCAGTACTTACTGGGCAATTATTTAAGCAATTATCAGAGATTTATCCACAGCATCAAAGGCCGTGGCCATCTCTCTATACTCGGTACCCTGTACAGAAGAAACAATCTGTCTAACTGTTCTCCCAGATGACCCAGGGGCCCAGTGTGTGCAGGAGGCTGAGACGGGCCCCTCTATTTTGGCAGAAACTCCACAAGTTACTTCTAGGTAGCAGGAAACCTCAGAGCTACACCCCCAACGGAAGCTTTAGCCCTAAAAACTCAATGTGTGAGCACTGGGCTTTGCATGTAAAAAATCTTTCTAAATAACCTGTTGGGGGCAAAGTCGGCTACCAGCAATCTCCAAAATACCAAAAGGCCAGGATATGATAAAAGTGAGTAGTAAATTCTAGATGACTTTTCCAAGTGGACACACTCTAGGAATAATTGTTCTGAAATAAACTGAGGCTAATATGAAGGTAAGTAGTGAACTTTAGTAGTTAAAGAAATATTACCGGATAGCGCTTTTATGGATCTAAGAGTGACAGGCTCAACGTTTCATCTTCTTGCGCTCACTGCTCAGTTAAACACAGCCGCTGCTGCTTCTATCACAAATGGAAAAACGGTGTGTGTCGGCTCACTGCTGACATTTACACACTGGCTATGCACATCACCAACTGACACATGGTTTATGAAATCCAGTCCTGTTTACTTTACTTAGACTTGAGTTGTGTCACTAAGACACTGTCCTTCCTACCCCACTACACCATCCCACTGTCATTCTGTCCATTAGGACATATCTGTCATGAAAAAGTCTTCAATAACTTTTCAAACTGAAAGCATCTCCAGCACAGCAGACAAGGCCCTTTGCAACCTCCGTCCCTAGTAATGAACAGCCAGCCTCCAACAGTCAATCACAGTCACTTTTCAAGTACACGTAGGAAGAATTAAGTGCAGATTATATATGTGCCAAAATGACAACTCTGGTCATTTGACAACTCCAGCCTCTTCCTACAGTCTCCATTCCCCAAAGGCAGCAGGGTCAGAGCCGGAGGGTCCCAAGACTTTGTTCCTTAACTTCAATGGGAAACCAGAAAACGGGTTAGGAAAATGTGCCACATGGAAATGGGCTGAGACGTTACTCAGGCCCTGAGACACGCCCATCTTCCTCAAGCTGCTCTCAGCCCAGCCCCGGGCATGCAAACCTTGAGCACCCTATAACCAGGAAACGCATCCAAGACTGAGATCCCGCTTACTGTTCTACCAGGCCAGCATTTCATTTCTTTCTGACATGCCAAAGGGTACGGCTGAGTGAGCTGTTGCTTTTCCTGTTGGCATTTCAAAGATCACCGACGAAATGGCAAATGTCTGGTCCCCAACACAGTATTGTCCGAATGACCTACAGTCTCTGGGATCCATGGCCCAGCTGGTCCAACCATCTTGCCTTGTTCCAAGGAAACATATTACACCTCTGTGCATATGTCCCTCATTCTTTAAAACTTGTTCCAAATATAACATCCCCTGGCTTTTCCATACTCTTCCCCAGAGGGTCAATTGGTCCCTGCCTCAGGTACCAAGGACTGGCCGTAAGAACCTTCGCTGTAGCAGGTAGCACAGTCCCAGACTGTCAGGGTCCCACTCCAAAAGAGCATGGGAAAAGGTGGGTGGGACTATATTTTATCTATTCTTTTTAAACTGCTAAAACAGTCACTGCAAGAAAAATAGCCTGAATACAGGTGCGGTGTTCACAACAGATATTTATCATATGAATGGGCTATATCTCATGATTTTCCAAATGAACATTTTTCTAAACCACAAAAGTAAATTTTAATAGGTGAACCAAGGTTTTGTGTGGATCTTATAAACTTATAAAATTAATCCTTTAAAATTACATGGAGACAGATATTTTTGCAAGCCAGCTCTCATGCTAGTCTGTGCGTGGGTCTCCATGCACTGTCTTGTCTGTGTGGCATCAGTGTGCTGGGAGCTCCTGCAGACCGAGCTGCTGGGTAAGCATGCCACCCTCCCCTGCTTCACCACCTTCTGAACCAGCACCAACATCAGCTTCAGGTCTGCTAATGTCACCGATGATCAAGACCTTTCTAAAGAAGTAGTGTCAGATTCTGATGCTAATGAATTATTCATGAGTTCTGATGATCGGATCAGAGGATCTATCATTTCTGGCTTATACTTCATTCCCTTGAAATCTGACAAATGGATTGATATGTGACTGCAATTGCAAATGGCTGTTTTAAAAAGTTCTACTTCAATGGTTTTTTTTTTTTTTTTTAAACTGAGTTACCAGGGGTTTGAGCAGTTTTCGTATGTAAGAAAAGCATCCCAGGATCAGAATAGGAACACCCTGATGGTGTTGGTCTTGCACAAGGTCTGGAAGAGAGGCCTGGGAATGCCCTATGAATGCATGAGGGGATCCAACCCTAAAACAGCCAAGAATGCCAGGGGTGGGCAGAGCAGGGTCAGCAGGTACAGGGGAGGAAGAAAGGAGCAGGGAATGGAGTCAGGTGTGCAATGGGAGCGCCAACTCTCAACTGCACACCAGGAGCTAGCTCTGGAAATCACAACACACAACACCCTAAATCAACGGGACAATGTGCCATTTTCTCCAAAAGATAACATAAAGCATAACAAGACCAGGACACTAAGGCACTTAATCCTGTCCTTATTGTATATTAATATTATGCTGTTCTGAATACCACACATCAAAAGAGGCAAGACTGAAATTAAAAAGGTTCTAAGAGATTTTTCTTTTAAGGTAGTCGAAGAGAAAGAACATATTCACACAAGATGTTTTTTAGTAGTAGCAGACCAAGTAAGAGGAAATTCTAACTTAAAGGAGTAAATTTACAGAAACTAGTACACTAAGAGATTCCATAGTCCAACATGACAGTTTCAAGGTTACTTTAAAACAATCTGTAAATAATAGAAGCAAATTAAGGTTTTTAAGGAAAGCTGGTGTTACCCTTGCAGTTCATTCTGAGACAAAGCTCTGGAGATGAAAATGTATCTTCTCCTAAAGCACTTCTTACTGCCCAGCCAGAAACACAACACTGAATTGTCTGGACCACCAAGGAGCAACCCATATTTTAAGTGAAATGTCCCAAGCTATTAGGGCTAAGAATCATTTTTGTTACACAGTGACATGCTTTTGTCTGGTGCCTGTGGTTATAGCACCCATGGGTCCCAGAATCCACATGCTGCATCACAGTTATGATTTTATTGTAACATACACAAGAAGGTTTTCATATGAACAGGTAAAACCTTCCCAAAATCCTTCATCTGTCTACATCTCCTTTAATGCAGGCTTTTTATTTATTTATTTATTTTTTTGAGACAGAGTCTTGCTGTGTCACCCAGGCTGGAGTGCAATGGTGTGATCTTGGCTCACTGCAACCTCCACCTCCCAAGTTCAAGCGATTCTCCTGCCTCAGCCTCCTGAGTAGCTGAGACTACAGGTGCATGCTACCATGCCCAGCTATCCTTTGATGTACATTTATCTTCTCAGCATTAAAGCTGGAATCTAGCCTTAACTAGACTGAAAGCACCAGAAAAGTGGTTATTTATCCTTATACTCCCTGTCCCATACAGAATACACGGGACCAGGATCCATTGCGGATTCAAGAGTCTGTACATATTCGAGTGTGAAGGTACCTGCACCATCTTACAGGTTGGAGGTGTCTACCATCCTGCTTCCTGGCTACACACTCAGAGCCAATCACACACTAAAGCAGGAACAGAGATAATCTAATCTAAACAGAGATTACCAGGTCTCTCCTTGAAAGCTTAAATTTAATATGATTCAACAAATCAAGCCTACACTGACTGATACTGTACTGAACTTACTGCCCAAATTATGCATTTGAGGCAAAAAGCTGCACCTTCTGTTTTAAGCAGAAAACTGCAGACTTACCTTTGGCACACAGTTGAGAGGTGACTGGCAAAATGCAGAACTCTTCAAAACGATGACGTTTTCAGCTAATTATACCTCTGAAGTTACAAAGCTGCAGGGATTCTCCAAATTCTCAAATCCAACTCAAATCTCAGCAAAGAATTATAATCTGGGACATCACTTGTATGCAAGGAACACATGAAATCTAAAAAGAAAGAAGCCTGTATTAAGTCTGCTTGCTTCTTTGATTTTAAGTAACCGCTTTGAAAAATAACCGGTTATTTGCCTAAAAACCAATAGTTTATTTATTTATTTATTTAAGACAGGGTCTCCTCTGTCACCCAGGCTGGAGTGTGGTGGTGCAATCTTGCCTCACGACAACCTCCACCTCCTAGGCTCAAGCGATCCTCCCGCCTTAGCCTCCCCATTAGCTTGGATTACAGGTGTGTGCCACACCCCTGGCTAATTTTTTAGACTTCGAAACCAGTGTTTTAAATATATCCCAGAATAAAGCTGCTCTGTGCCTAAAGACCTCCATCAACACACACATCCTCCCCTTTCCCACCTTTCATTTCCTGGGCAAGCTCCAACATCAAGGTAGGGGGGCCAACCACACACCTGGTAAACAGCAGGTGGAAGGAGATGATGGGGTGTTGGGGGGACAGCCAGCCCATAATCAAGGGACCTGAGCTCCCAGTCACTTCCAGACTTCCTCCTCCCAATGACCCCCACCTTTAAAAGCCTACCAGAAACAAAAGGGAGGCTGCCATTTGGAAAGGAGGCCAGTCTGGGAGTCTAATGAGGGAGAAGGCTTACAAAGGACACGGATATTGTTTAGAGACTCGTTCCTCTAAACAGACTTCCTCAAGGAAGTCTGTTGTACCATCCACTTATTAAGAGGTCACCAACCGGACCCATAGCCTTAGGCTAAGGCTTAACCTAAAACACACCTGCTTTCAAGGAATCTGAGATGAACACTTCAAAACTAGAAGGAAGTTAAGATGAGAGGTGCCTGATAAGGGTGACCAGCTTCCTCTTGGTTGTGGAGAGCTGGCTGCTGCATTCTGCTCACTGCACTTGGTAAATATTTTCAGACCTTGACTAACATTTTCGAGGGGACCCTGGAGCACTCTGTGGACTTCAAGTGAGTTCACTGACATTTTTAATTACATTTCAAGCCCAGTGGGGATGTGTCTTGACAGTTCACTCAGAGAAGATCTATTAATTCATCCCTAGCATGATTATGACCCAAAATGTTAAATACCCCATAGAAAAATCGAATTCTATTTTAGTCAAAGAGAAGAAGAAAATTCAAATAGGGCTATCATAAAAATGTTATAAGGCAAGTTCATAAATTTTGATTTAAAAACTAATTCCTTTTTATGCATTCTCTAGCATTATTTTAAAGGCTGCATCATTTTAATATAGATATAATTTAAGGCAAGGAAAAGGTGATGGCCTAACACAATAGGAATACATCTTTGGACAAGATGTCAGAAGTACACTAGAGTTCCCTTCTCTCTGCTACATAGTTTTAATAAAATGACAGGTACTCTCGAAATAGAAGTATTGGAATCAGGACTCAGTTCTTGACCAAGAGTTTTTGTTTCTCATGCTGACAGCACTGAAGAGATGTGCTGGGCACCATACCACCAACACCACCTCTGTATGTGTCACTTTCAGGGGCTATAATAAACAGAAGTTGTATTGTCAAGATTTTAATTGGAAAGTAAATTTGCTCAGAGTCCGTCTTCCACAGGCGAATGCAAGGAATTGTTTATGTGGTTGTTCGAGTTGTACAAATACAAGCCTCCCGCTGTGTACCCTGTGTCTCATGAGTCATATGATTTAATCCTTCTGATAAACTTCCAGGATGGATTCTAATGCCCAAATATACAGAGGCATTAACTTTCTCAGGGACACTAAAAGCTTTTCCCAACCAACTGGAGAGTGAGGAATTCACTCAGGCCTTGGACTCCGGATGAGAGAGCTTTGCATGACTCTAATCTCCTCTGCATTAGAACACAGAGGAGACACTCTTATGCCAACAGCAAACCAAAAGCCTAGGCAGCTGCTTTGCCAGCCCCCGCAAAAGAACAGTGAGCTGGATTTGGAACCTGAGTCTGCTGATTCTAGGCACAGTGGACAAGTCAGAACACGGCCTCTCCAAGCACAATCAGCAGAGGAAAAGCCAGACAGAATGGAGCAGGACTTGAACTAACACAGCAGCTCCAACAAAAGTGAGGCTATTTAAAAGGTGCCAGTGGCCATCTGGGATTCAAGCGTAAAAAGTGGAGGTTGCATATGATGTTTTCCTTGAGAAAAGCTATCCATTGACAAACTATCAATGTGCTAAGTGTATATCCTAAGTGAGAAAAAAAGCAATGGTGATCAAAATCTCTTTGGGTTTAAATGAAGACTGCCCATGTTGAACCTGGGGCTCTTAGCGTATTCAAAGCCTGTGTTAAGGAACAGCATTTCAAAGCAGGTCTTAATTATAATTGGTGATCTAAACCCATCAGGGAAGTGTACACTTTTGTGCAAAAAACAGTATCAGCCTGAAAGATAAACACCTATAAGGTCACTTGGACTGTAGAAGGCCCTCACCAAAGGAGTCATTCAAGGATTTTCTACAGCCAGCTTCAAGAAGACAGCAATATGTGAAAGGGGTGTGTGTTCTTCTCTAAAAGTACTTCACTAGCACTCCGTGCATCTCCTTTAGAAATTAAAAAAAAAGGGGGGGAAGGCTGGAAGGCAATTAACACTGAGAACATACGTAGCTCTTCATTTTAATTTAGACCCTTAATACTACTAAATTTTACCGCTGCAAATCCAAGGAATTATCTGAATTTTGTTTAACCTTGAGATTTGCTTTTTTGTCTACTAAAGCCACAACCCAGGGCTTTCAAGTCTTTACAGCAGCACCTAGCTGCAGTGTTGGGTGAGGATGCTGAGCTCCACCAGGCCACACTACTTGTCCCAGGCGCAGGGCCAGGCAGTGAGATGCCCCGGTGCAAGCAGTCCTGGCCGGTTCTACATCCCCGGTGCCTGCACGGTCCAGCACAGTGCCTTCCGCTGCGCCTGGGCCGGTTTCCCCCAACTATCACCATCTGAGGGGGAAGTCCTGTGATGAGGTCCTTGACTAAGGCAACTCCAGAGGAGCAGTTCAGGGTTAACAAAAGAGTTATGAGCCTTGTTCTGACGACAGCCAGAGTCTGTGAGCCTTATGGGTATAATACTGCTGGGCACTGTCACTCAACCTGTTTTTGAGGTGGCTTATTTGTCCAGAAAACTGACGTCACCAAGAGGCTAAAGTCAGCCTTCAGAAAGTGCAGGGAATCCCTCCACTCCCACTCCCCGACTGATGGAAACAGTGATAGGCCGGGAGAAGAACATGCTCTAGTCCCAGTGAGACACTCGCTGTGGCTTCACCTTAGCGTCAGCTGCGTGAATCGTCACAGCAACCCTGGGAGACACATCTTATCATTCAGCTCAGGAACCAAACGACCAGACGTCCCACAACCAGACTTTGAACACACACTTGTCTGATTTTAAAGCCAGAGTGCTCTTTCTCCTGGCAAAGATCATCACGAAAGGGCTACAACCTTGACAGTCACATCTTGCAAATCACATCTGCTGCTGTCATCTATCTGGGCTATCTTCTGCAACTCTCACATCAGGTAGGTACAATGTTAGGCTACGTCAAGAAGCAAGCCCATGAATGGACACACACCAAGTTCGTTTTCAACAGTACTGCTTCTCTTAGATGTGAGCACAGAAAAAAAAAAAAAAAGGCCTTGTTGAATAATGTCACATGGCTGAGTCAGTAATGAGCAGATCCCGGACTCAGGTGTGTATCATAACTAAATCTAATCTCTGTTATGCCTGGAGAGAACCACGCCAGATCCCTAGTCTGGAGCCAGAGCTAAGACAATTGTCCTTTTTCTTTTATTTAAAAAGAAAAAAAGCACAGGATTCGCATAGGCCTCGGAGCTCTCAAATACCCTTCCTCCTACCCCCTGAGCAGGCAGGCCCAGCGGAGGCCTGCAAGCAGATCTCCAGCTCAGAACACAGAGGCGGCAGTGCCTGCTCAACACAGCACGGGGTCAAGGCTGTCTGGGGGAATTCTGGCAGAACTAGCTATATTTCATTCCTACCGAACCACTTGGAAGAAAACCTTATTCAAGTGGGAAAAGGCTGGTTTCACACACTGAACAAAGCTACACAAGTTTCCTTGAGTGGTTTGGCTAAAGTTCAACCCATGTGGACTGATACTGAGCAGCTCAGATGTGTTTATCAATCCAAACTCAAAGGCGTCCAAGGAGATGACCTCAGCTGTCTCTTAATCATCCAGGGCACAGTGGTTCCCAGGCAGGGTTCAGAAAGGGCTGAAGTCTACCTTCCACATTTCAAAAGGCCTCATTGCAATTAGATTTTTTACTCAAGATGAAGCCGTCCTGAAAAGTAAAAATATCAAGTTTTTCTGCACTGGGCTGAAATTATATCAATTCCATATATTAATGGTGGTTATAAGGTTAATTAGAAGCTGATTAATGAAAACAGAAGGGAAAAAAACAGTGCTAGTTTTTAATTCTCTAGGAAGCCACTGTGTGACCAAGGTAGGTGTTTGCGGGAGAAAGGTAACTGATGAGAGTTTAAGGTCTGTCAGTTCTAGGATCTGGAATAATCATTTCTGCCTTCAGATACTCCAGAACTGAGAAAAGAAAGAAACAGCAAGCGGCAGGTCAATGGATGTGCCGAACCCCTATTAACCTTAATATGGAAGGCACCAGGTTCAAGAGGCTGAAGGGACCCAGAGCCAGCCAGGGTGTTATTAGGGGCTTACATAGAACAGAGTCCAGTGGCAGTGGGAAGGACAGGGGACCCACACCTGCCTGCAAGCATCATGCAATTCATGTAGCATTTTCACTTCACACCCTCCCTAACCAAGGACCTCCACCTGGCATCCTTTATGCAACCCCAGATGCAGGGCCTCTATACCACACCCATTGCACAAGACAGGCTGGGGGGAACTCAGTTGTTCCTTTACAGCCAAGGACTGAATCTCCAAGTTGGCAACTTCAGGATTCCCTAGATGGGAACACATATTCAGGTGCATCTGCCACACAAGGTAACATTCTAAGGGTCCACTTAAGTTATTGCTGTCAGGTGCATTTACCCTACATCATCCATATATAATGAGAAGCAAAATACAAGCCAGAAAAGAAAGCAACAAGGCCGTGGGTCAGGATGACAAGGTTGTAGGCCTGACTCGGCCACCAAATGCCTCTCTCTCTTCCCTCATCCACCACCCCAGACACTCAACTGCAATCCTATATCTTTGGGTCACACAGGAATGGACATTATCAAAAATTGATGCTGTGGTGCCAAAAGTGTATCAACACTTACTAAAATAATACAAGAAAGTCATAGGGCAAATCTTAATATAAATTTAAATTTTACAGTCTACTGCTTAAATATTCTAACATATAGAAATTTGATTAGTGACACTATTTCCAAAGGTCTGTAAAGGGTTTGATTGATATATTTAATGCTAGACTCTTCAGTCCAGCAGTACTCCATTCGCTAAAAGGCTCTCCAGGTGTTTCTCTAAGGTTTTTCCTCTAGTTCAAACTGTCTTTGTAATCAGCATAAAAGCCTTGCTATACCTCTCAGTGCCATAAGCAGACAATCTAATTACATATCACCTTAACAGGTTCACCAGCATATTATTAAGAATGCACAGGATTCAGCCATTGTCTAGGTAGTGACACCACCAATAAAAAGCATGCCAGCAAAAATAAACTGTAAACACTAAAATGCACTACTGAATACAAACTGTGCAAACCGCCCTTGTTATGAGGGAAAGAAGAGGAAGGGAAGAGTGAGGGGTCAGGGAAACAAATCCTGTTTTTCTCCCTCTCCCTCCCCCTCCTGCTAGCTAGCTTGCCTGCAGGTGCGCTCTCTCTCTCTCTCTCACACCCCCCCCCACACACACACACACGTGCACCCGCGAGTTTTGTTTTTTTCAAATAGCATCTTGAAAAGTGGGCCAGATTGTTAACACATTTAGGGAATAGAATCAGGGGTGAGAAGGGTTAATTTCTTTTTTCTTTTTTTTTTTTTTTGAGGCTGAGTCTTGATCCGTCGCTAGGCTGGAGTGCAGTGGTGCGATCTCGGCTCACTGCAACCTCCGCCTCCTGGATTCAGGCGACTCTTCCGCCTCAGCCTCCTGAGTAGCTGGGACCACAGGCGCGTGCCACCACGCCCGGCTAATTTTTTTGTCTTTTTAGTAGAGACGGGGGTTTCACCATGTTGGCCAGGATGGTCTTGATCTTTCGACCTTGTGATCCGCCCACCTCAGCCTCCCAAAGTGCTGGGATTACAGGCTTGAGCCACCGCGTCCAGCCCCGAGAAGGGTTAATTTCTATAACATTTGAACATTAAAGTATTTACTTTGGTAATAAAGCACAGCTTTAGATAAAATTCCAGACTCCTTTTCCCATTTCCATCACTGCTATTATTCTGTGAATAATAAGTAGTAAGTGCTTATATTTTACTGATTACACCATGAAGTTTTGTGCATCCCATCTGCTATGGCCTAAATTGTGTCCATGCCCTGCCTCCAAAAAAAATGTGTATATTGAAGTCTCAACCCCCAGTACACTTCAGACTGGCAGTGAAAAGGTTTTTAAAGAGGTGGTTAAAATGAAGCACTCAGGGTGTGGCCCCTAATCCAAGAGGACTGCTGGCCTTTTAAGGAGAAGAAAAGATACCAGGAGGGTGTGCAGGTTGAAAAGACCATAGGAAAACACAGCAAGGCGGCATCCGTCTGCAATTTCCAGAAAGAGGCCCCAGAAGAAACCAACCCTGCTGAGCCCTTGAGCGTAGACTTCCAGGCCCCAGAACTGTGAGAAAATAAAGTGCCATGTAAGCCCCTCAGTCTGCGGTACTTTCCCATGGCAGCCTGCGTCTTGGTGAGACTCAACCATATGACATATGACACATACAACAGGAATTTGAAAAACCTTTTGTGAGCAAATGCAAGGATGGGCGAATGGACGGAACTCCAGGTCAGAACACTTCACCTACCGGGTATCTCCTGCACACCAGAAAGGAATTATTCTCCCATTTTCAACACGTATTCCTTCTTCAAAACCCAGTGTAAGCCCTATGGCTCCCTTCCTGGGCCAAACTCCAGCATCACATTGTAACATGGCCATGCCATTTTGCATTTGAATTGTGATGTTTCACTATATGCAAAAGTCCTTCCTCATCCAATCCCAACAATTATACATGCAGTCAGCCCCAGCCCTCACAAGATGGCTAAAGCAAATGACAAGCAAAAATTAGTTTGCCCATAAACACTTCAGTGCTTGTCACCAACAGATAAGCACAACTCCAGTATCACATCCCAAATCATGACCAGTTACTTAACATAAAGCTCATATCTCATTAGGTCCTGATTTTCTAGTCTCGTAAGGGACTTTCTATAGCTGATTTACTTAAATCAGGATCTAAGTCATGTCCACAAATTACAATTTGTCTCTGAAGCCACTTTAAGTCGATCTTATTTTAATGGCAATGTGTTGAAGAGGCTGGGTCATCTGCCCTGCAGTCACGTGGCATTCCATTCCCCTGGTGTTTTTCACATGCTCCCCAGCCCTGGCATTTCTAGTAAACTGGCGGTTAGTCCTGGAGGCTCTTTCAATGGGAGGGTCTTTCTCAAGAGCAGGGACCCAGCACTGACCATGTGCTTGGCACTGAGAGCTACCCGATTAATCTGTGGTTTAGTAATTGAAATCACAAGTTGGAGATGCTAATGTATCAAGGAGTCCAGCCCTTGTCCTTAGCTCTTTCCAGGCTCTCATTTTCAAATGAGATTTTCTGCAGGGTCCACGGACCTTCTGAAGCCTTTCCAGAAAAAAAGGAAAAGCCTCATCCTACTTTTCCAACTGGGAGAAGGTATATGAAATTTAAGGCTGAAAGTTACAAAATCATCTTAAGCATTGAATGAAGTCATGTTCTTTTCTAAGAAAGTAAGAAAGAAAGAGAGGGTGGAAGGAGGGGAGGGGAAGGGAGGGGGGCATCACTGATGGTCGCTTCCAGGAGGCTGGCATCACTGATGGTCATCCTCACACTACCCTAGGAAGGAGGCTCCCAAGTGACCCTATTGAGAAACATAATGCCATTTTACACTTCTTAAATTATATAGATATTAGCTGTATGCTACTAATTTTTCCCTACGAAGGAAAATTTGCGCTTTTTATTTCTACAAAGAATATTTATATTGTCTTATACAAATCTGAGAGTTTTCCCATATCCCAGAATTAAATCAAAAACCTCAAACCCTTTATTTCCCCTGCCCTTTAAGGAGAGCACCTGTGTGTGATTTTAGAACCACCTATTAATCTCAGAGAGAACACAAAGTCTGCGAAGCCTGCCCTTCACACATATGTGCATCACAGGACAGAAACATCCAGAGAGCGCTGTTCCGGTCAGGGCCCATGTTCTAATTAACTCAGGATTAAGCAGCTGGGTCCTCCAGGGAGCAGGCTACAAGGGCTGATGCAAAATTTAGTACTCCAGGGATTGCAAGTGTTACTCAGACTCTACCTTTGTTCCAGATTACATCAGGGGTCATTTGAAAAATCACAACAGGACCCTCAGCATGAGGGTGTGGGATAGGTTGTTTTACAGCAATTAGACAAAGGGATGGGCTAAGAAAGACTAAGATCACCCCATGACCATGGGCATTTGAGAAGTCCCCAATAGTGCAGAGAACAACGAAACTCTGGAGAAAAAGGCTCAGAAAGATTTAGTAGGAAGGCTGGTTTTTTTTTTTAATTTTGTAAATTACTGATAACTGGGAAGCCCCCTATGGAATGGGATTTGCTTCTAAGAAACTGAAAACACCTCACTCCATGTTATCCTCTTCCTCTGATGAGCACTGAATCCACTTGATTTGTTTCCTCCTTGTTAAGTGGCAGAGATATTTACATGAATATTATAGTGTCCCATAAATGAATTCCATAAAATTCCATCAAATGTGGAAAAAGGAAATTTAAAATTTCTCATTTAAAAAGTGGCTAATAAAGACATGGAAACAATCTAAGTGTCCACTGATGAACGAAGAAAATGTAGTATGTGTGACACGTACACATACACAAGCACACGCACCACATATACACAGGCTAAGCATCCCTAATCTAAAAATATAAAATCCAAATTACTCCAAAATCTGAAAATTTTTGAGCTTTAACATGATGCTGCAAGTGAAAAAAAATTGCACACCTAACTTCATGGGAAGGGCCTCAGTCAAAATGTAGGCACACAACACAGTTTGCCCAGCACCACCAAGAAAGGGACAAAATTATCTTCAGGCTTTGTATATACGGTGGACATGAAACACAAATGAATTACATGTTTGGACTTGTCTCCACCCCCAAAACTTCTCATTATGTATATGCAAATATTCCAAAATCTGGAAAAATCCCAAACCTGAAACAGTATTTGGGTTAAGGAATTCTTAACCTGTAATAAACACATAAACACACACACACACACACACACACACACACACACACACACGAATATTATTCAGTCCTGAAAAGGGAAATCCTGCCATTTGCAATAATGCAGATGAACCTGGAGGACATTATGCTAAGTGAAGTTAAGCAAAGCACAGAAAGACAAATACTGAATGATCTCACATGTGGAATCTAAAGAAGTCAAATTCTTAGAAATAGAGAGTAGAATGATAGTTAACAGGGGCTGGAGGTCAAAGTCAAATAGGAGGGCTGGAAGGTAGGGGAAATGCGAGGATTTTGGTCAATAGGTACAAAATTTCAGTTATAAAATGAATAAGTTCTGAAAATTTAATTTAAAATGTTTAATTTTAAAAATATATGAAATTTTAAAAGGCTAATAGTTATAAAAATTTACCTTATAGAAAATAAATTTATTATTCCAATTAAATAGAAATTTTACTATCACTATGTTTTTAAAGTATGTTTAGCTTTAAGCATATTTAGTTCTTAAAATACAATTAGTTTTTAAACATTCCTAAAATGGTCAAATTATGTTTACCCACATTCTCCTGGAACGCTGGACCCTTTCACAACTCTCTGCCCTCATGTCTATTTCCTCCCAGTACTGGGAACAGCTTTGCACCTCAGCTTCCCAATGGCATCGTGCAATCGAATCCAACTCACCTTCAGGAAAGAACTCAAATGTGCTCTCTTCCAAGATACTGGCCTCCGTGCCCATAGAAAGCACTATTTCATCATATAAACAGTCATTTACATAACTAACCAGATAGGAAGAGCCTCTGGGTAGGGAACACAACTTCTTCATGTTCTGATACCCATTTGGGAAGGCTCTGGATAAAATGACTCTTCTCCCCTATTTATGGTTCAATAAACTTCCACTTCCTTAGTTCCATCTGTAAGATTGGCTGTGACTGCCCAGTACCCTGCAGCGGACAGTGCCATGTTAAGCCTGGAATCCTTATCCCCCAGTGTTCAATCTAAAACACAGTGAATCCCTTACACCACTGTGCCTTTGAGCAATACCATGAATATCAACTCAGAGCCTTAACTATAGATAATAACATACCTATGCCAAAACCAAACCAAGATGGTATGATTCTGCTTACACACCGTATTTCTTAATTTCAAGGCTATAAGTTTAGTTTTTTTGAGTATTTCATTTAATAAATTTGAGAGGGACAGCATCAAAGAGTAATTCTAAATTCCAAAGCTCAAAAGCATATATATGACTTCCTATGGCAGCTACCCAATTAATGCCATCCATAAAGCCATTCAAATACTGTGTCTGGGCTGAAATCCAATTAAGCCATTTCTGTCTGAATATCCCCAAAGAGCCTCCT